TAACGAAGAAATGAAAACTTGTGAGTAGAAAATGGAACCTGGAGTGTTGAAATGAAACATTTTCGCTGAGACTGGTTGTAGGCTTATTGCAGGTATTGCTTGCGGGTTTGTTTCAGTTGTTTGCTTGAGAGAGAGGAAAGAACCAAAGAGAGACAAAGAAGAAGAAGAAGGCTTTGGGCCTTTTCCTTGCGGCTTTGCTTGAATTGCCCGTTTGTTATAGGCTTATTCTTCCCCTTCTGAATTTTTTTTCTATTTTTCTCCTTCTTCAGGGTGACAATAACTGGGAATTAAGGGGGAGAATATTTTCGTCCAAAAAAAAAAAGAGGAGAGAATATCAATATTTTTGGGTTTGTGACGGAAATGCCACGATGGAACTCAGGAAATGTCCAAAATGACCTTACATGTCGATAGCGTACAAAGTTGAACTAGAATAATATGGATCAATCATCATTTTCTGTCTAAAGTCTCTTATTTACAATCAACTTTCTCTCGACATTCTTCCTTTTCCTCATGATATGTATCACTTTACTAACACTTAAAAATCACCCATTTTCCTTGTTGCTAGGATCAGCCACAGGTGCTTTAAGTTATAAATCATTATATTCGATTTCCCAACCTAGCTCCCTTGTCAATTCCCTTTTATCTCCTAGCGAGTACCACTAGAACAAACGTCAAATTTGGGGTAATCTGATTTAATTTGACATTGAATCGAACCCCGGCAAGGTATGGTTAGAGCCCCAAATCAAAACCAGCAAGGATAAAAATTTCTAAAGGCTGTTGATCACAATAAAGTTGAAAGCTGTAACAGATGCACCCACAACTGGCATATCTAATATTTTAAACCAAGGCTCAGATTATTGGGTTTCAGTTCAAGAGGAAAACTCACTCCATTAGAATGCAATAATTTCTCATTGTGTCCATTCATACACAATAAGTTCGTAACAGGGAAATGGAAGAAGAACTACAATACAGAGAGCTATCAAGTTAAACGACTTTTCAGGGAATAATATCCAATGAGCAAAACTGGCTGATTCATACGTCCCATGACAACTGAGCAAAAAAATGATCGAGAACAGCGAAACGGAAACTTCCTATTAGTCCACCGCAATGAAATTAAAGGTCATCTTCCACAAAACCAGAGCCATACCCACTCTTTATTTCGCACAACTTCAGTCATATGAACAAAGAGAAATTACATGTTCATATATAAGATGTTGAACGAAACTGGGCTTTTACCGCACGGGCTGCTGGTTGTAATGGTTCTTCTCTTTCTTCTTAGCTGCAGCAAGCCGTGCTCTCCTGGCAGCAGCCTCTTGAGAAGCCGCTTTCGCAGCAGCATCCATCTCTTTACTAGATTTCTTCTTCTTCGCGGTTACAACCTTCTTTAATCGCTCCTTCACATCAACATTTGATGTATCCTCCTCTGTCTGTTCAGCTGCAGTAACTTCACCCAGTCCATTAGTTGCCCCTGAATTGTTTGGTTGGTCCTGAGATTCTTTCACCTCCTTGGAAGCTTTATCTTTCTTTTTCTTCTTCTTGGCGCTCTTGGACTCTGCAGGCTGATTTTCCTTCTTTTCTTCATCTCCATTCAGCGCACTATCCTTCTCTTGTGCAGCACCTGCAAATGTAACATAACAAAGGTTGAATATTGAACATGAGGCGACGCCAAAGAAACCTTGCCTGTAGAGGTTCTGATGCCAAGAATATATAAATAAATAAGAAACGAGACTCCACCATCTGCCATAATACTATAAATAAATCAATACCATAACTTCACCTTCCAACATATGTTTGCCAATTGATTCTAAGCTTACTTTAGAATCAATGTGTGTGGTGAATGATAAACAACAAATGTGTTTCAATGGCGTATTACGTACCATACATGAATGTGTAATGTTTACAAAGAAAGTTTAACCATCTTCTTCGCGTCTTTGTATGCCTAAACTCAAATTTCAATTCATAAATAACAAAATGAAATCATTGTAACATTCAGCTTTTATTCTTTCTTAACTTTAGAAAAAAGCACTATAAGAGCAAAACTGAACCAAGCAAAAAATTGCAGATCACTATAGTAAAACTTATAGGAAATAATTGTTCACAATTACCACGTGATTCATCTTGACTATCACTCTCCTTTTGAGTAACTCCAAAATCAGCCAGAAGGGCCTCAAGTTCTGCAAGTTCCTTTTTCTTTTTTTCCTTTTTTGAAAGTTGCCTTTCTGCCTCCTTAGGTGGCGCAGGAACATCAGCAGGCTTCTTCAGCACTGGCTCAGGGTTTACTGGCACCTCTGGTTCATTATCATGCTCTTCCTCTACATCATCATCACCTTCATCAAGAATATCTTCTTCACTCTCACTATCCTGTAATCACAAATTGACAAGTAGTTATAAGAACTTTATTCAGGTTTCCTTCAAAACATTTCATCAGTTGCCTGCAATGATGTGACAAATGTATAACCATACAAAGTGACATACATAGTCCAATAGAAAAGGCCATCTCAATGAAACAAAGAATGTCGTGCAAACAACTTATGAGCATAAAGGAATGGGTATTTATGAAACATACTCGGCTACATTTCAGCCTTCGATTCCAACTATTTTGCCATTCTCCTCACTTTGAAGGTTAACTAGCAGCCAACATAGCTACATTGTAGAAGTACAATTGCAGTCCACCTTGAAAACTCATGTTACAACCATTTACAGACACTCGCATACACAGAGTATCTCCTCATTCCACACGAAACCTAATCACTTTTCACCCATTGAACTCCATCTTTAACATTTGGATAACAATATGAATTACAATCGCTTTGCTTCTGCATTCCTGATAGCAGATAGTTTGATCTCCACTGGAAATCAGCACTTTGATCACAATAACAAATCTTAAGATATGCCTCCACAAATTTCCTCCTTAAACAACCAACAAGCCAAACTAAGAACATTCCCCCAGCAACTCATTAGCTTGGTTTTTCTTCTTCTGGAAACACCACCAACCAACGTTTTCCTCTATTAAGCCAAAGTCTTGCAAAGTTGGCATTTCCATAGTTCTTAGAGTAACATCAATACCCAACTACACTATCTCTATTCATCAATTCATTTCCGTCTATCAGAAAATATCTTTAGTGAACAAAAATCAAACAAACTAATGAATAAAACACAAAATTCAGATACCAAACATCAACAGAAAGAAATAATTAAGCGAAGTTCTGACCTCTACATTTGGCCTGTCCTTATTCTGCTGGGGCTCCGAAGGTCCCCAAACGGATTGAGGCGGAGCGGTTGTGGCGTAATAGTCATCATCATCTTCGTCATCCACATCGGCCCACGATTTCGCGTTCAAGGGAGCCGGAGCCCAAAAAACCTGGGCCTCGGGCGCCTTGGGCTGGGCCGACTGGGCCGACTTGGAGGACCCTTTGCTCTTGCGATCCTTATCGGACTTCTTCTTCTTCCTCAGAGTCTCGAGCGCCGCGAACACGTTAGTGTTGTTGATGACGAGCGAGCCCTCGTCTCTCCTGCTTCCACCACCAACCATCTCTGTTTCAACAACTCGAGATCAGCCAAACGATGCGTGAACCGAGAAAATGCGTGTGAAGCCTCGCGGTTTTTCAATTCACAAAATTGCAAGACTCTATTAACGCGAAAATTGAATCAGCTAAACTTTGTTTACAATTAGGGTTTCGAGCCTCTGATGAACGGAAATCAAACAATATTATATATCAAAAATTAAAAGATAAATTAAACCGACAAAAATTATCGGAGTTTTGGTGGTGTCAAAATTTTGATCGCGGGAAATCGAGAGAGAGTCGGAGATCGGAGATTTGGCGGGGATTGTGAGGGCTGGTGATGGAAGTGAAGGGACAAATTAGGGTTTGGGGCAGACGGTGAAATTAGGGATTGGGATTATTAATATGAAGAGAGAATGAGGGAGAGGGAGAGGGAGCTATGGAGGATGAAGGGGTATGAGTTGGTTACGTTTGCAAAGTAGGGCTAAATTAAAGAGGACTGGATAACGTAATGGAGTGCCGAAGAGGAGCTTATATAGGTGGCTGTGTTTTTGCTTTTTACCGATTGGTCCTCCAACTTATGGTTCTTCAAACTAGTCTCAATGTTTACGGGTAATTTCAAGCTGGTCTCAACTTTTTCAAACATTTCAACTAATACCAATGTACGTCCTCTGTTTATTTTTCAGCTTTTGTTTTTTGTTTGTTTTTAATGTTTCATGTTTTATTTTATTTTTTAAACATTTACTGGTTTTTTTTATTTTTATTCTTGTGTTTTGTTTTCATGTTGTATTATTTTTATTTTTATTTTCATGTTTTACTTTCCATAAGCCAAGCATGTTCAATCCTGGTTTCCTTCTCTTTGCAATTGAAAAGCAACACGTTTCTCTATTAAAACAAACCAAATACCAGAGTGTTAGAAACTGTATACGTATACAATGGGTATGGACGTCCGGAGAAAAATTGGAAGTATAATTTATGTATATATAATTTTAAAAGTGAAAAAAAATAAAAAAAATTTAAACTTCAGTGCCTAGACTCCTTTGACAACTTTTCTTATTATCTACTAGCATCCTCCCGCAGTGGACAAAAAGTTCTTTTTTCTAAAGTTTTTTCATATTTGATTTCTCTCCATTTACCATGGATGCACCTTTTTATAGTGGAATATTCATCTTCAAGAAATAGGGTGTACGCGACCATGTAACTAGAATTAAGAGAATATGTTACCAATATTTAAAAACAAATAGATTTCATCTAGGTCAAAGTTCGGAAGAATAGGTCTCCAAAGGTTTATTTGTGCTCTGCTAGGAAAGAAAAAATAATGAACATAAAGAAGTTACTCTTTTTTTTCTCTTACCTTTTTAACTTTACTCACAAAAAGCACGCATCTATACTTCTGCTAGGGTCAGTAGAAGGCAGTTTTCCTGGGAACTAAAATCCAAACAGATATATTTCGACCAAAAAAAAATCCAAACAGATATAGAACAATAACAGTGCAGATAATTGAATAGTTTTTGCCAGTCACATTGATCTCAACAAATTTTACAATTACATGTATCCCGTACATATATATATTACAATACGGAAAATCAGGTACTTATCTCGTTTATGCCCGCGTGAACATCCGATCAAGCAAAAAGAGGATACGAAAAGAATGGAAAGGGCCTATCGACAGTAAAAATACTAAAAAGCATTGTCATTTTCTTCCTTCTTTTTAATGTCTTTGCAATGACTATGCCACAAAAAATAGGAAAACCATGAGGAAAAAAATTAGTACAAAGAATATCTTGATCATCAGCCACCTATTAGATGATATGCTATTCAGATACTTGAGCAGTGCCCCTTGTGCGCCCTCCACGTTCGCCAATGTGTCATCCATGTTCTCATCAATCCTGCAGGAAGAAATGCCATCATCAAGATTCCAGTTTAATCAAAGTCAAGTGTTAGAGGAACACTACTTATAGGAAAACCATCTCTGTTTGTCAAAGTTGCACTTTTCAACCATGCAATAAACAATTATATGCCCATAGCTATCAAAGTCACCAGAAACACCCGACAGATGCAGTAGGACCATCGAGATTAGCAATTTCCACAATAAATTTTCTGTCTGACTTGAAACCTTAGGACCATCTGGACAAAAAATAAACCTTGGGACCAAATGAAAACTACAAATATACATATAGCAATTGTACTGAATGCATGGAAACCTGAATGATAAGCTATCCATCTTATCGGAAAAAATGTTAAACAAGTGAACTATATGCTGCCTTCAATTTTCCATCTATAATCTGCTTGAGTAGACTGTCAGAACCCCCAAGGTCAGAGACAAACCAATTCACTGGGCAATACTTTTACCCATGATCAACGGTAACTTGTTACTCAAAATTGTTTGACTAAATGATTATGTCTTGCGTCAAATGGGGGTCAAATGGAGCTCAAATATCAGATAAGTATTATTTCTTAGCTTGTGATGTCCTTATATAATAGAACAATTTAACATAACATTTAGTGGTTTAGAAAGGATGATGATTATAATGACTGTGATATAGCTAAATTAACAATCACCTGACCAGTAACAGTAAAGAACGTAGTGTGTGAAATACCTAATAATAAAAAGTGATTCATCTGTTTAGAACACAACCACTGAATTCCACATCAAAGAAAGATACGGGAATTAGATTAAAACCTGATGGCAATCTCCCCTTGCTGAGACACCAAGGTTGCCAGCTGGTTGAAAATATTGCTTAGCTCATGAATAGTGGACTCAACATTTTGCAAAGCTTCAGCTCTGCTCTGCATGTAACTATCTTGCAACGGAACCATCTCCTGTTGTTGCTGTTGCTGCTGGAGCAATGGCTGACTCTCCCCATCCGTCTGCTTCCTGTAAAATTAGAAACCGATAAATGTTCCACAAGATACAATCTCAAATTTTGATCACTGAATCAAGTCATCTCAACTTAAGAAGTTACAGGCAACGGAAGCAGATCACAATCAAAAGTTTGAAAAACAAAATCCTAACAAGAAATGGTCAAACAGCTATGAAAGAATAAATAAATTAGTTTAGAATTCGATACTGTGAACTGAGATAATCTTTAACATCATAACAAAAAAAAGGGAGAGAGACAGAGGGGTCAGTAATTTTCAGGATGTTCAAGAAGAAGAAAGGGTGCATGCAGTTGCGACGATTATTGAGAAATTCAGGGAAAACAAACCACAATATTGATAATGCAACAATCACAAAAATCTCCTATGTACTTGATGTCTGATAAACATGGCTACTCATGCACTTAAAGAATATCAGTTATCCAAAACTGAACAAAAAAAATGCAAAAAACAAAAAAATTACTCTCTTACTTGGGGAACAACTGTGATGAAGATGGTGATCCATTAGCCCATGGAGGAGGCGAGGCACTTGAAGAACTAGCAGCTGACCTGGCAGCCAGTGGACGCTGACGAACAAAAGGATTTGCAGCATCCTTAGATGCAGACGCAGAAAACAATTGTCTTCTATTCTCATGAACCTTCATATTCTTCACGAAATCAATAGAAAAGATACATTAGTCTTAGAAAATAACCTAAGGAGCAGCAATAGCAGAACACTCTCATACTAAGATCACCAGCCTAACTGGACAGGAATTAATATTCAGCAACATTAGGCCTTACCTCAGTCCGCATGGTGAGGACTTCTTTAAACTCTTTTGTAGCGCTCATAAGCCGATTTTTCAAGTCATCAACAACTGTGGTTGAATGACTAGTCGTGTCACTAGAAATATTCCCACTGTCATTTCTGGAGTTGGACAGAAGCTGAAGGTCTACCACTGCAGAGTTAAGTGCAGTAATATCCTGCTTGATAACTGCTGTCAGCTCCTGAATTTCCCTGGTAGGGTCATCAAACACAGAAGTCCTCTTTGCCACTACATGACAAGACAAATACCTTAAAATAAATAGATAAACATTTCTCAATCATAATTAACTATAGCAATAGCAACACAAAAATCACCAATATTCAAAAAAATTCTACGCCCTTCCAGGTAGTCACACTTTACAGTGGAAAGAAATTAAACCTAATTTAATCATCATCAGGAACATTCCAAGGAGGGGATGAAGCCTGGTGCATCAGCTCCCAATCTACCAAATAGAGGGTTGAGAACAGAGGCAACGCCCTATGTCAGTGTGATTATATATTATATTAGGGGTATGGTTTTGCAACTTTGAGCCTCGAATTTCCTTTTAAAAGTCAGGTGCAGAGTTCGTGCAGAGTTCGTGCAGAAATGCAACTGGTTCTTGCTTTCGATCAGAACATGAGAATATGTCAAAGTCATTCATGACAACAAGCACAAGTTAATGACTGCTGCAGAGACCCTTTTCAGATATAAGTTAAGCAAACACCGCATGAATAAATTTGCAAAGTCTCCAATTTCAAACAAAAACAACAAAAACAATTACAATTGTACTACCAATCACCAATAACTCACACTTTGTCAGCTTTCCAAGCTTCTGCGATGTCTGGTGTATCCCGTACCCGATTTTGGAAGCCCTCTTATTGAACTCGGACTGAACCGCAACCACGGAACGTTGTTCCTCGAATTTCGATTTCGATCCACTACTTGGCCCATTCTGCCCCGACCCTAGTCCTGATGAGAACGACTTTTTTAGCCTCTCTGCTACACTCTGAAACTCCTGCGTCCGATCCCTAAAAGACGATTGTGCCGCTTTCGCATGCATTTTCCAGACCCTAAATCTTCAAATTGCAACTCTACAATAGCATAACCACCTGAAACCACATAAATTCACTCCAATACTCAAATGCCTGCTCAATTAGACATTTTATATCATATGTGTCATAGTTTCTATTTGGCCTAGGTGATGCGAAATTTGATTGAAAAACCATATCAAAACCCTCATTTTGTTCGGCCTTCCCATCTTTCTCGGCATCCAAACAGCAAAAAGGGAAATTAAATCAGGAAATAGCGAAATTACCTCCGCGAGAGCGAGATCTGAAACCCTAGACCCGCGGAATTGAAGTTCTCTTTGCAAAGTAAAGAGAAACTGATTCGGGAAAAGAGCTCGCGGGAAGGTGAAACGCTGCGTCTGGATCGAGATCGCGCGAATGCGAGTTCACGTGTGTAAATGTTTGGGGGTGAAATTGAAGAGATTTTGATGCGAGGTTGGATCTAATGCAGATTTTAATCTTGCGGGAAACAGAGAACACTTGTTGCGCGTCGTGGAGTTGTAGCTGAAGAAAAATTTGTTATTCTGACCAAAAACTAAAAACTAAAAAAATAAACTACTTTACTGCAATATCGTCGGATGGGGGTTTTTGCAGAATGGTCCCTTGATTTCTATTTAGTTTTTTTGGTACCATATGGATCTAAGAATCTCTTGGAAAATTACAGATGTACATTGTTTTATTCATTTATTTTTTGGTGAGTGTTAAGTATTTTTTGTTTGGAAGTAACTGAGTACTTTAATTTCATGTGTATTCAATTGAGATTTTAAACGATTTTAAAGAAGTTTAAAAGTCTATAAGCATTCAATCAAGATTTTATAGAAGTCTAGAAACATCTGGATGTATTCAATTTAGACTTTATCTATTCAAATTTTGTTGTATTCAATCATAAATTTAAAGTGTATGGGTGTAGTGAGATGTTGTTTTTATTATCATATTACTTTGTTGATTTATATTGTACTACCTTTGGCCCAAAAAAATGGAGTATAGCCGAGTAAAAAAGGGTATTGACTTGCATACCATTGTCTTATATTTGAACCCCCATATAGACGAAACTTATTTCACCATATATGCAATAAAGAAATTTCAAGCAACAAAATATGACATGTTTGCAGACAGTGGTGGATCCAGAATTTCATGTGTGTGGGGGTCTCTTACAAATTATAAAGAATAAAAAATAGTGTATATATTTATCACATATGTCAAGAATTATGTTGCTTATTGGTTGCAATCATAATTGTCCTCAACAAAGGGATAGACAAATACATTCTAAGCAAGAAAAATTGCAAGAGATAGACAAAGAGAAGCAATTTAGCAAATATCTTTAAAGCTTTTTCCCCCATTAAACCCAATAGAAAGAAAAAAAATCAAAATTTCACAAATTAAAAAAAAATCTTAGGCCCCTTCATGCATTCATATCATACATGAAAAAATATTGACTAAGTATGAAAAATGGTTTTTCAGAATAATTATTTTCCCAAGATAATTTTTGGGGTCTTTTATTCCTTACACATCAAATAAGAAAACTTGATTTTATGGGATTTTAGTAAGAAGTATATATTGACTTAATGAGCCATCATTTTTAGCCTAAATCGTATTTTACACTAAAACTGATTTTTCATATTTTGATTTGGTGGGAATTTGATTTTCTAGTATTTTTATTTGAATCCAAATAAGGGGTACTTCCTTATTTACATTGTAAACTTAAGTAAATGGAGTAATATAAAAATAAATTAAAGTAAAAGGACAAAAACATTTACTTAAATGTTGAAAATGGAAATAAGGTAATCTGTACACCTGGAGTGCACTACCACCAGCTGAGCAAGGGGGCAATTTGAAGTGCCTAATTTTGCATTAATAGGTCCGCCACAACACATATGGGTACATATCAAAACGTAAAGTATTTGAAATAATATACATATAGAAATACATAACAGTATATTATTTTTAAAATATAAAAAAACTTGAGTGGGGGCCCAAGACCACACTGGTCCAAGTGTGGCTCCGCCCTTGTTTGCATACATGGGTTTAGGCCCCGTTTGGGAAAAAAAAAAATTCCCGCAAAAAATCTGCTTTCTTTAAAGTTAAGTAATTTAAGATGTTTGATAAAAATAAAATATCTTGATTATTTTTAAAACAGTGGCTTTTTGACAGCATGTTTTTAAAGCAGATTCTGTGTTGTCAAAGCTGCTTTTAAAAGAAGTAGAGATGAGCCTGTAATGAAAATTTTTAATTCCTAAAATACCATCATTAATTTTTAAAAATGACACCACCTTCACCTCCACATCCGACTCCACCACCTCCACCTCCACAACCGCCATCCCCACCACCACCAATACCACAACCACCACCACCACCACCACAACCACCATTAATGCTCAATGTAGTTTTGACATGATTAACTTGACAAAATTTTGATTGCACGAGAAAAACAATTTTTGTTTCAATGCTTACAAAAACAATGCAACAATTTATCGTTTCTTCATATCTAGACATACTATAAATTTTAGAAGAATATAGTTTAATGAACAAAATTGATAAACTTAGCACTATTGTTGTTGTCAACATATGGTTAAACTTCCTTTCCTACAAGTTATGACTATCGATTTTTACCTTACGCATAATTCTCACCATTTTCATTTAAAACAATAATAAAAAATTCAAAATGCGTGCAAACAATTCATACTTTATGCACCTCACACCTAATGCTCATCAAAATATTTCACATTCAACCATAGTTTAGACCTCATTAAATTTGTCCAAATTATTGTACAACCCTATCGACAAAATTTAGGCCATGAATCATTTTTACATGTTACACGTCACATTTCTTCCTTCCCAATTAAGGAAACTTTAGGCCGGTGGGTCATATTCACATGATACACATATGCGATCGGTTTCACCACCCAGTAATTAGAGCGCGACGTAGACAATAACTGCTCGCCGCTTCCCTGTACCTACTTATTTCGTTTGTTTCCTTTGACCACGTCACTACGTGCGGTTATATTGGCTTCCGGGCGCTGCTAGAAACACCCGCTTAACACACTGTGCTCACGCGCTCCTCCAAGCTCAATACCCGCCACGTTTCGCTTCCTTAAAGCGAGTTTAAATGACACAGACTCTAGCGAGTAGCTCTGGTATTTCCGTTCTGGCGCCTCATTTCTCAAACGCAATGGCATTCCCGATATTTCACGTACAATGAGGCCGAGTTTTTAAGTACCGCAAACCAACTCTTTTCATTAATTACTATTTTTTCAAAAAATTAAGAATATTTATCCAATCTGAACCGTTCGTTTTTTATATTAGAAATCTGACCGTCCATTTTTAGCTTTTTCGGCACGAAATTGTTAAGCTCTAGCCGACTATGGTACAAAGCGAAGCGGAGGAATTGAGTTCCCCACATCGACTTACCAATCGGGCGTTCCAGATATCGCCACGTGGTATTATCCAAAGGATTCGCTATTTTCCATTTTGTTTTCATTTTTTTCGTTATTTTCGATCAAAACCCTTACTCTCGTGGAACCGAAGAAACCCTAGCTCTCGTCCCGTCCCTTACGGTGAAAAAAAAAGCTGAAATTTCAACAATTATCGAAAATTAAATTCGAAAATTGGGGAATTACATTAGGGTTTCAAATCAGGAGGTCAGGAATCGAACCCTAGTTGATCCTTCGCGTTCATGATTTTCTCAATTCGTTCGGAGAACCGATGATTCGTCGTATTACGGTTAAGGTACGCTTGTGATTGAGTTTATTATTTTGAATTTTTATGAAAATTTTAACGTTTTTTCGGAAATGATCTCAATGCGTGGGGGAATAGGGTGTGATCGCTTGGTTTTTGGGTTTTATTTGGGGGACTTTTGTGATTTTTGCCTTGCTTTTGCTGTAACAGATCTGAAAACTGTGTAGGGGCATGTATGATGGAATGTGAAAATTGGGTTTTCTCGGTTTGGGTGCTTGGATTGAGGGATTGTTGATGGAAAATAGAATAGAGAACTCACATGGCACTGAAATTCCCAGGAAATCGAGATCTTTGGAT